ACAGACTCACACACAGGCTCACATGCACACATTTACACAGGGACACAGACACACGCATCTACACATAGACACACATGCACAAAGGCTCACACACACACTGCTACCATTTCCTGACTTGTTTTCTTTTTCTCACCTGCTCTCGCTGTTCATTTTCTTGATCCCATCTGTACAGAATTCCTGGTGTGTCTGAGATTTCCAGGGCTGCAAAGGAACCAAAGAAGTGGTAGGTACTTAATTCTACCAATCCCCTGATCAGTCCACAAATTGGGATAATTGAAAGTGAACTTTATCATAGTACTTGCACCTGGAATTTATATAATATTTAAATTTCTAAAAGCACTTCTGGAGTTACCATTTTATTTTTATCTTTACAAATAAACCCTGTGGCTCCAGTAGCGAGACACCGTCACCGTCTTTGATTAGATCAGAAAGTGCCTGTCAGGCTTAGGGACTTGCCTGATGTTAGGGATCAGGTACATGAGGGTCTCTAAATAAATTTTGATGTCAAATACTAAGAGAGGCTCTTAGTTGACATGTATTGTCCCTAAATTCTATCTCTCTTAATGCTATTTCACTCTTTTTAACAAAAATAATCCATCACCAACGTTATCTACACATATGATGGAGTACCATCGTGTGGTTGACTAGGCTGTACCAATTTTTGGTCTGGCTAAGCCGACCAGTGTATGTACGATGCCACTCAGTCAGTTAGCAGAAGGTCAAGGACAAGTATTTTTTTCCTGAGCAAGATGATTTATTTGTTGTCTATAACTAGATCAGGCCAAGCATTACAGAAAGAAGGGGAAATGTGAAGTTTTCAGGTCACATACCTATGTGTGTATACTTTGCTGAATTTTTGGAAAGCACTACACAGCTAATTTATTGCTAACTTATGCTCTAGCAAGATCTTCTTTTGAAAAGCGACATCAATTAGAATTTTTTGGGTTACAACCGCTCCTTTAAAACTCAATGGAATATAGACTTAAAAAAACATATTGTCTTCCCCAGTGGCCAAATCTGGAACAATTTGAGCAACAAAATAAAGTCATATTAGACTCTAGCACAAAACATAAATAAAGTAAGTATCCATGAGTCCGTACAGATATAAATAAATGACTGAGTAAATAAATAAAGGAGGGAAAGAGATACATCTCCTGTTCAGAAGAATTCCAGACAATTTATGTAACTACTCCACCCTCAAGGGGAATGTTAGCTCTTTACTCCGTAAGTGTGGGCTGCTTGTAATGATGTCTGTTGAGAGGACAGTATGGAAAGTGGGGGGAAGTCCATGTACAGTGGAGAAACTTGACACACACAACCTCAGGAAGGAGGTCAAGTTTAGTAGCATCAACAGTCTGAAGTCCTGTTGATCACATGTACCCTTGATGTGATGTGAGGAAAACAGCACGTACCTCTGTGTTCTTCCTCCCCCCAAACTCATCATTCCTGGTGTAATCATGAGCAGACCACCAGGAAAATCCCTCCTACAAAATCCTTTACTAGTGCTCCTCCAAACTGTCAAGGTCATAAAAACTCAGGAAAGTCGGCTGTCATGCGGCGAGCAGAACAAGTTCGAACTCGGTAACACTCTGGCACCGTGGCCAGTTGCCCGGGGCCTGCCAGCCCTTCATGGGGAAGCTGATGTCCGTGGCTCCCCTGACCAGGAGATTATGGATGCTGAGGACTGGGGAGGGTGGCGGTGGACAAGAGACAACAGAGACAGACAGAGAGGGAGACAAAGACGGAGACAGGTTTTGTGACAAGAAGCCTGGGAGCAGGCCAGGGAGTACAGGACCATCACACGGAGGTGCTCATGGCTCAGAGTGGATGCAGGGTGCCTGGGGCCACTCGGTCATGTGGCTGCCCGATGCCAGCCTCCCCATGAGGCCAAGGGGCTGGACAACTTCTTGGTTCCTTCCAAGCTCTAAATGACACCCCCACTTCAGCAGGAGTCCCCTGGCCCCCGTGAGAACCCAGGCCTGGACCCAGCCCCGGAAGGTGCCAGAAGTGCGTTCTGCCATCAGCTCTGTGGCCACATGGAGTGGTGTCCACTTCAGTGCCCCTGCCTGGGATGCTGGAGCCTGAGCCCTACCCACTGGCTCTGCTCTGTAAAAGGGACAGATAGAGACCCCCATCACAGGGCTGGGGACTGTAAGGGGACAACAGATGGGCGGAGATTCGAGGGGCATCTGGGAAGGAAGGTGCTGGGCATGGGGAAGTGACTGATGGGGACACAGCACATCTGGGGAGAAGCCAGAACAGAGACAGCTGGTGGCGTCTGCAGTCTTTCCTCCCACCCTCCCGCTGCGGGGGCCCGGCTGACCACCTGAAGACCCTCAGCCCCGCTATGCCCCATCTGAGCTGTGCCTGAAAACCCCAGCCCCAATGGGCTCTGTCTGCCCCTGATCGAGGCATCCCAGGGGCCAAGTGACAGACTGGCCTGGGAGGACAGGACAGGGTGGAGGTCCCAATTGTCTCTGAGCCAGTTCATTCCAGGCCCACCTACTCCAGGCCCACTCTGCTCCCTTCACCCAACAACCACGGCCTGGGCCTGGGTCTGCACGGGGTGGGGGTGCCTTAGGTGCGGGGTGAAGTGGGGGCCATAGGAAACAACAGCCCCATCTGTCTGGCTGTCACCTGGCCTTCTTCCATCACTGGGGCCTTCCCCCAACAAAACCCCACCCACCAGCTGATCCCACATCCATGCCTTTGCTCACACAGCACCTAGCCTGCACACTCTTACCCCTCCAGGCCTGGCCACGCCTTCCCTTCCCCACAGGCCACGCCCTCCCTGCACCTGTGTGCTCAGCTCTGGGGCCCAGGGCATCTTCCCTGCAAGAGGCCCTGGGGACAGGGATGGACCCCCTCCCTGGGTGCCCAGCCCAGTAGGAGGCTGGCCCTCTGGCGCTGAGCGCCTCACCAATGACAGAACAGGTGGGCAAATCCATCATGCCCCACGTCTCCGAGCTCCGAGCACCAGTCTTGTGCCTGGAACGGTTCGAATGCTGCAGACGCAGGAGAGGGAGTCAGGCCCTCTCCCAGAGCTGATGTGTAGCTGGGGAGACAGACAGCGACCCAAGCAGAGAAGTAAATAGGTGGTCTGGGGTCTGCGGGGCAGTTAATGACCCCTGGGGAGGCGTACTTCCAAATAGGTGGTCAGGAAATCCTCCCTGAGGAGGTGGCCTCTGAATGAAGACCTGGAAGAGGTCAGGCTGCCTGGATTCCTGGGATAAGTGTTCCAGCAGCAGCTTGTAGGGAACATGTGGATGTGGGGGGGGCACAGGTGTGTGGGGTGCATGGGGTACATGGGGATGTTTGGGGGTGTGGGATGTATGGGGGGTGTGGGGTGTATGGGGTACATGGGGGTATATGGGTTGTATGCGGTGGGTGGGGTGTCCAGGCTGGGTGGGGTGTTTGGGGTTGTGTGGGGTGTGTGGGGTGTAGGATGGGTCATGAGGGGTGATGGGGAGGAGTCCAGGGCTTCCTTTGGTGACAAAGAGCTGGCCCTGAATGTCCACTGGTTGTGGACAGGCCCTCTGGAGACAGGAGGTCGGAGGACCACAGCCCAGGCCCGAGCACCCCCTCAGGGGCCATTGGTGGTGCTGGGCGCCCTGGGAACCGACCTCCACAGTGGGAGCCTGCAGCGGCCATTTCCATGCAGCCGCACAGAAGCCCTCCCCTCTCTCGGCCCTTCTCAGCTCACATAGTAAAAGGGCCCGGGCAGCCCAGCGAGGAAGGGAAGGAAGGGCAAGTCCCCCCCAGCCAGCCTGGAGCCACCGCTGACCCGACTTGCAGGTGACCTCCAACAGCACTGAACCCCCAGGCCCGAGTCTCCCAGCTGTGAGATGATGGCTGTTCTGGCTCCCCTGGCCTCAGAGGTCTCCCCAGCTCTCACCCAGCTCTGGGCTCCTGAGCTCTAAGGCAGAAAGGCAATGCCAGGGCTCAGGGAACCTCCAGCTTAGCAAACATCCGTCCCGGCCCAGGCCCGTCCCCAAGCATGTGCTAATGCAGCACAAGTGACCCAGGGCGTGTCACTAGAGGTCCAAGTCCCTCTACAAGGGAGGTGACAGTCTCCCTTCTAGGTGCTGTTTGGACCACAGCTGGGTCCAGCGACCACTCCTGGCTTCTCCACAATGGACAGAGTCTGGGGAGGGGCCATGAAACAGGAGGACCTGATAAATGTGGCCCAAGAGAGCTATTTAAGGGGACACTGGTGGTAACCATGAAATAACAGTTGTTGCAGGTGCTCGTGCACCCCGCTCACCTCCCAGGGCCCAGGCCCATGCCCTGCTCTCTACCCGCTACAAGGCCAACACGGTGAGAGACACGGTCAATGCCACAGAGCTGGGTGGAGACGAGGCTCCTCTGACAAGGTGCTTCTGGGAGTGGAGGGCGACACAGTCCTGCCTTCAAATCTCCACGGCCGTCCCAGAGCAGAGAAGGCACTGGGATTGACACTTGGAAATGGGGCCCCGCCCCAGGGAGGTGCAAGCAAGGGGCTGGCTGTGGCCTGGGGGGGTCTGGTATATCCCACAATACGAGGTCTCCAGGACCTTGTCTGGGTCTAACAGCCTCCTGCCGGCCCCTTCCCAGGGTCACATGGGACCACCGTCAAGAAACTCGGGTCTGTGCACCTGAAAACACAAAGATCATCTTAGAACCGAGTCTGGGAGTCCTGCAGAGGGTGTCTGGCCACTGCCTATTTAAAGATGAGGAAACTGAAGCCCAAGGGCCCTGCGCAGGACTGCGGAGCAGGGGCATGGGGGTTGGCGGAGCGAGGAGTGAGCTTACCCAGGCTGTTCACCTGGTACGTGTCCCGCAAGTCCTTCATGCAGAAGCCGATGACGTCCACGAAGTCCTCCACCAGCCAGGATAGCTCCTTGGTGTTGGAGCCCATCTGGGGAGAGGAGGGGGTCAGGGAGCCTCGGAGACGGTGGGGAGTCCCACCGAGAATGCCAACCACCAGAGCTGAGTGTCACTGGAGATGCCTGCACCCCAGCGGAGACACATGCTCTCATTCCTCTGCCGCCTCCTGCCTCGTCCTCTCATCTGGTCCCTCTTTGTCAGGGTCCTGTCGCTCCCTCCCCAGCACCACAGGGCTCTGGACCTCACTCAGGGAGCAGAGTCGGGACCTCGGAGACTCCATCAGCATTTTGCGGATGAGAACACAGAGCCCAGAGGGGAGGAGAGCGGAGGTCTCTGGGCTCCACAGCCCTCACACCGGGTGCTGCCCTGGGCACCGGAGGAGTGACAGCTTCCAGGTCACTCTGGGAGGAAGCGAGGTGGATGGCTCTTTCCAGATGACAAAGAACCACCATGTCCCAGTTATCCCAATGCACGCTGCATGGCCAACATGTTTTCTCACACCCCGTCCTGAGCCTCACACGATGAGCCACCGTCCTCTGACAGATGGGGACACTGGAGCTCAGAAGGATAAGCAGCTTCCTCAACATCACAAGACTGGCAGAGGCTGTGCTGGGATTGGAACCCAAGATCACATCCTGGTCTGGCCTGGGGCTCAGGGCAGCACCGGGGTCGCCTGTGCTCATAATGCTACTCCGACTCCAAGGGCTCCAGACTGGTGCCCATACCAGCCGGGCCTCCTGCCACTTGTCCCGGTTCTCCTCCACCAGCAGGTTGCTGATGATCTGGACAAAGTTCTGGAAAGAAGAAGAAGAAAGGCCAGTGGGCAGAGAATAAGCACCAGAATCAGGGTTCAGTATGTGACCAGGGTCAGGGCTCAGAGTGTGACCAGCATCAGGGTTCAGTATGTGACTAAGGTCAGAGCTCAGTCAAAGGCTGGGGTGGAGGACCACCCTCCTGGGCACCCACTGCAGTTGTATTGGCCCCACATTGCAGCTGGCAGGGTCCTTGTCAGCAGAGGGACGCCACACCCACCACCCACCACTGTCCCAGATGTATCCATGAACGTGCGAATCGTTCTGGCCCCCTGCGTGATCAGAGCCCTAGTACCTCAGTTTCCACCCCCAGACAACAAGGGCATGGGTTGGACACTGGGCCCTTGGCCTCCAGGATTTTCAGCCGCACCTCAGGCTGTCAGACCCTCCCTTGGCCTGGCCCAACACACACACGGTATCCTGGCCTTGCCTCCATCCCCTCCCTACCCACTTTAGGCCTTCAATGGCATCTCCAGACACCAGCCACAAAAGGCACCCTGTTGTCCTGCCTAGCCCTCTGAACAGTGCCTGCCTGTGTGTCTGGGGAAGGCTGCACTGGGGAGGAAGGGGTGGGTGGGCACCCGCAACACTGAGGGCGGCCTGGGGAGCATGCAGGTTTGGGAGAGCCAGCAGGAGGGGGGCCCCTGCCCAGCCTGCCCTCCCTGCTTGGGGTGCTCCATGGGCCCACACTGATCCCCCTGGGCCACAGCAGGGAAGGCAGCTCATCACCCAGAGGCAGAGGCAGCCCTGGTGGGAGACCCCCATTGCAGGCCCAGGATAACCTGTCTGAGCCATCTAAGGTGCTCGGGGAGGCGAGGAGGGGCTGGGGTGCTCAGGCAGGCCTCTCTTCAGGAGCACAGAGCTGGATGGGGCATGTAAAGACTCACCACCACCTTAACTCTTGCAAGAGTAAAAATTCCCTAAGTTGAGCCTTCAGACAGGCATGGCACATTTGATCTTTTTAACAGATCCTACAGCAGCACATTTTCAGGACTCAGCCAGTAAAGGGCATTCAGGTTATGTTAGTAGCTTCGTCCAAGGAAGGCTCGGGACATGGAAGTTTCTTTAACCATGTCCTTCTAGATCCAGAGATGGGCTCTTACATGTAAGGGTTGTATTTCTATGACAGTGGGTTGTGAAATGTGCACTCTTACGAACTTTAACAATAGCTTGAGTTAATTTTATAAAACTCATTAATGAGTGAATAACTAAGGTCCCATTCCTAGAACTCCTGAAAAGTGCCCAGAATTCCAGAGTGCCTGAAGCTCCGGACTGTTACCTGCCCCTCCCCTTACTTCAGGCAATGTGCTTTGGGTTGCTGGCCTTCCTTGCTGTGTTCCAGAAATGATGCAAAATGCTCTTTAAGTATTCTGGAATTTAGCTTTTTGATTTAGTCAGCCTCGCCTTCTTATTCCAGATAAGATGGTCTGGGTGTACAAGGGGTTACAGTTTAACTTACAAAGAAAATGCTCAAAGCACAGAAATGCGGGTATGCAGACCAAAAGGAAGCCAGTGGTCTGGGCCCAGGCCCGTGCTCTCTTTGGGAGAATAAAGAGATCCATGTTGCTTGTTGAAGTGTTCTGAGTTGGTTTCCCACCTTTTGTTTGTAGTGACTTAAAAGGGGTTGTGTTTGGATCCTGGCTTTGTTTTGCAACCTCTACTATATGATTTTTGACTCTTATCAATGTTTGTGTTTGCAGTGGGTTTAATTTGGCAGTAGCCTGTGGTCCCTGGGGTACAGATTCATCCAGTGTTGATAGTACCTGCCACAGCCATTGCCACGTGGATACTTAGCATTTCCATTCCTGAAGCCTAACTGCCCAGAAGGCCAAGGTTATTTGACCTGCTTTGAAAGGGTGTGTGTATATACATTTTAAACATTCTTCTATATCCCCATGAAGGAGGGCGGCTTTAATTTCTACTGGGTAGCGTGTTCTTTACCAGGTGTTCTGGGGTTTTACAGCAGTTTGTAGAATTTGTGCCTGGTGGGTCCAGAGATAATTGGGGCCCTGGTGGGTGTCCTTGTGTTTATGTCATGAGCCTCGTGACTCATGGAGAATGGAAGGTGGGGACTCCTGGGCTTCTTGCCACAGTCTTGCTTTCAAGGGGACATTTAAAATTTGGCTTATCCCACTCAGCTCCCTGGCCCCTCTCAGGCCCTACCCCTAACCCTGTAACCACCGGGTCTGTCCTTGGGGTTCCTGCAGGCTTCTCCCAAAGACAAGCTCAGAATCTCTTCATTTTCAAGTTTTGTTGCTAATCACTTCTGGAAAAAACCAGAAAGCACATTTGATTCTTTCCCCCCAGGGTAGTAAAGTTACAAAGCTTAAGAAAATGTTTACAGAAGCCTACAGTTCAGGATTCCTTTAAAAAAATGTATTTTTAAATTCCTCAGGTAATGCATATTTGGTGTGCAAACATAAGCAATGGTGAAATATATGGAGTAAAAAGCTTCTCTGTAGACATTAATTTGCTGGGTGGAGGGTTTGCACATTGAAAATTTGATAGATACTAACAAATGGATGCTTTCCAAAAGTGTTGTGCCTTTTCATGCCACCGCCACCTGCAGCCTGTGAAGGTTTCCCAGCAGTGTTCCCAACACTGGGAACATCTTTGCAAACATTTACCACTTTGATTGGTGGGCAAATAGCATTTCATGTCCATTTGCATTTCTCTGATTATAATGGAGTTGAGTATCTCTTACTATTCTATTGTTTGGCTCCTTTCTGAGACAGGAAATAAAAGTCATCTTATCCTGGGATGGTGTGAGGTGCTGTTATCCAGTCTAAACTGGTTCTGCTTGCTGAACGAAAAATAAATCTGAAGAAGAGGTGTTGGGGGCAAGGAATATCAACTTTATTTGGAAAGCTGGCAGATGGAGAAGATGGCAGATTAATATCCTGGAGAACCATCTTCCCCAAGTCAGAGTTCAGGCTCCTTTTCTACTTAAAAGGAGAGGGGATGTTGTTGGTTGTTGCAAATTTCTTGGTGCAGGAATTCTTTGTTCTTGGAATCCTTTGTTTTTGCAGCTGTCCATGTGGGTCAGGTCATAGTGCCCCTGCAAAACCTCCAACGAAACAAAGGTGTTTTTCTATTCTTCATCTTGTTATCTTTCTGAGTGCAAGTGTGTTAATATCCTTAAAGGTCAGAGCCTTGAGAATAGGCTCTGCTGTCTATTTCAGCCTAAAAGCAACATTGTTCTACAAAAGGTGCAGAGCTGGCAAGACTAAGCCTAGAAAACAGGGCACAGGGTTAAACCTAAGGAACAGGTCTAATATGGAGTCAGATTTGTTGTTCTTATTTATTACAGTGCCTTTCCATGAGTCGTAAGAGGATGTTTCCAGGTGGGTTCTCCTCAGCCCCAGGCTGAGATTTGGGTAGGAGCCCTGGCAAGTTTACCATGACTGTGGCTGGAACTGATCTCCCATAGAGAAAGTAACGATTATAGATGGTTAAAATTATCTGTCAAAGTCCCTTCAATTGCATGTAAACTACACCACCCTGGGGGTGGGGGGAGGGAGAAGCAAGTCTCACTTGCCTGTCAAAGATCAGGCTCCCCGGATGCAAGGGACCAGCATCGCAGCGGGTTCTAAGGTGGCCTGGCCAGCGCAGCTGCCTACTTTGCTCTCAGGCCTTGGGCTCCTGTCATGGACTCTTTCAAAATTCCAGTCCCTCTTCCCTCTGTCTCTGCAGGAATGAATGTGGTCCCTGCACCCACCTGGGCTGAGCCCAGGCCACGCACACAGCCCACAGTCTGCTGTCCAGCTGTCCATCCGCTGGCTCGGCTGCACTCTCCCCAGTCCCCCGCACCCTCAGGTCTGCGTGCTCAGCGCCTCAGGCCTCGGGTTCTGGATCACCAACCCTGCCATCACGAACTCAAGGCCCACTGGCGAGCAGCTGGCAGCCCAGGACCATCCTGATCTGCCGCCTCAGAGGAGGCACAGGGCACGGGGAGGAAGCTGGGCGCCCGGGCGGGTATTGGAACCGCCTCCAGCGCCGCCCACCGCGCCCCGGAGCCTCGGACGACAGGCTGTGCTGCCCGCACACTGCAAAGGATCCGCCTCCTGCGGCTGTCGCCACGGTACACGGAGTCCGACTGCCCTGCCCCCGGCTGGGTGAAGGGGTCAGCTCGGGGAAGGGGTGCCCTGGGAGTGAGGGGGGATCTCGTGGTGAGGGATGACAGGCTGAGGCGCTCGGAGTAACGGGACCTGCTGAGGGGTAGGGTAGGGGGTAATCCCGGCGTGAGGGGTGAGTGTTGAGGAGCCCATCTCGGGATGGTGGGGGGACCCGAGGTGAGGCATGAGGAGTCAGCTTCGTTTGCGGGGGCTGTAGGTTAAGACCTCGAGGGACAGTGTGTGGGTGGGGACCTTGATGTGAGAAGGAACCTTGTCTTGGGGATCCGGTCGGGGACTGAGCCTGGCCGGGGGTTGGGGAGCAGTCGAGGGTGCCGCGAGCAGCGGAAGTGGGGCTGGGAGGTGAGGCCTTGCCCGGGCCGGCGATGGTTCTAGTTGGGTGCCGCGCGCGACCCGGTCGGTGGCGGGGTTGGGGAGGTTGGGGAGGTTGGGGATGGGGAGCCAGGGGGCCCAGGCCGGGGTTGGGCACGCCCCACCTCCCGGCCCCGCCCCACTTCTCAACCCCACTCAGCCCTTCCCGGCCCCGCCCCACCTCCCAGCTCCACTGGCCGCATCCCGTAATGTGGAGCCGAGCCCGAGCGTCCGCGCTGCGTGCGGGCGGGGAGGGGCGCGCACACACCGACTCCCGGACGCCGAGCCCGCCCAGAGTGTGTGAAAGCTGTGCGGGAACCGGGTGTTCCTGGACCAGTTCCACCAGGAGGAAGCGGCCTGAGGTCTGGGCTGCCGCCGCCAGGCAAGTAACGGGGCGCTGGTGGGGGCGCGCAGGTCGGGGAGCTGGCGGTGAGGCCTGGGCCACGCGGCCGGTTAGGACCTTGAGGCGGATCCGGGCCGCCGCCTTGGTTCGTGGTGCCGCCCGCCCCACCCAATTAAGTAGTGTGTGAATCCCGCGCCTTCGCTGCCGCGCGCAGCGGGTTTGGGAAAGCGGGTGCAGCGCCGAGAGGTGGGGGGGCGCCGGAGCACCTCCGACTGGCCCGTCAGCCCGTGGCCTTCCTGCGAAAGTGGACCTGCCTGGCGAGTGGAGGCCGCCCCGGACCCTCCCGGGCACAGGCGCCCTGGGGTGGAATAACCGGCGAGGCCCGGGCCTTTGGGAGCTTGACGGCCTGACCCCAAGATCAAAAGGTTTTGGCGAGTTTACTTTTAGGTTTTTGAGGAATCGCCACACTTTTCCACAATGGCTGCACCAGACTGCATTCCCATCAGCGGTGCAGGAGGGTTCCCTTTTCTTCCCACTCTCCACCGTTTCACCTTTGGACTTTTGAATGAGATGCCCATTCTGACTAGTGTGAGGTGATGCCTCAGTGTAGTTTTGATTTGCACTGTTCTGATAATTAGTGATATTGAGCATGTTTTTAATGTGTCTATTGGCCATTTGTATGTTTTTATTGAAGAATTACTGGTTTAGTTCTGCCCATTTTTGGATTGGGTTGTTTTTCGGTTTTTCAGTTGTATGAGCTGTTTGTGTTCTGGAAATTAAGCCCGTGTCAGTCTCATCTTTTGTAAATGCTTCTCCCATTCTTTGGGTTGTCGTTTTGTTTTGCTCATGGTTTCCTTTGCTGTGCAAAT